CGATTGTTTATTAGGAAAAATTGAAAAAGCAACCAAGTCTAAGCGGTAGAAGTTATAGCACTATTTCGGAGATCACCACATCTCCTCATCAGACTTCTTTTTTCTAGACTTCAGCAGGGATCGAACCTGCGAATTCGATGTTCAAAGTCAGAAGCGTTAACCACTGAGCTATGTACATCCCGTAAACTCTTGTTGCTAATTCATTTTCCTTATTCAACCAACTACTATCAAGTGCAGCTGATTTGCCGCTATTTAAACTCGACAGCGTGGTTGTTGTTGTCAATTATATACATCCATTTGCTTATTTGCTTTTTTGTATAGTTTCAGGCAGGCTCTTCCTAAACTATGTATTTGTCAATGTTATTGTGGCTTGTTAACATTTTATTTTTTAATATTTTTATTGAGCTTTGTACCACGATTGTTTATTAGGAAAAATTGAAAAAGCAACCAAGTCTAAGCGGTAGAAGTTATAGCACTATTTCGGAGATCACCACATCTCCTCATCAGACTTCTTTTTTCTAGACTTCAGCAGGGATCGAACCTGCGAATTCGATGTTCAAAGTCAGAAGCGTTAACCACTGAGCTATGTACATCCCGTAAACTCTTGTTGCTAATTCATTTTCCTTATTCAACCAACTACTATCAAGTGCAGCTGATTTGCCGCTATTTAAACTCGACAGCGTGGTTGTTGTTGTCAATTATATACATCCATTTGCTTATTTGCTTTTTTGTATAGTTTCAGGCAGGCTCTTCCTAAACTATGTATTTGTCAATGTTATTGTGGCTTGTTAACATATTATAATGTAAGTAAAATAGATATTAATGAAAATTAAAAATATCCCTTTGGCACAATTTTCTAAATCTGGTTTTACGTCAGTTAAAGCCGTTCGTAACAGTTCTGTTAAATGTTGGTTAGTCAATAGGTACGTTCGTTTAAAATCTTCAGTAAAAAATGTCCAATAGCAAAATTCCGGCGAAATATCATCTGTTCTCACAAGAGAAAAATATAAAAAATAGTACGCGAACAAAGAATTTGTAGAAACTTGCAAGTTAGACGAACAGCTGATAGAAATTTTCTTTACATTCAAAAGTATACATTTGAAATGGTAAGAAAACAAATCCCGAAGTCTTATTCTGACACAGTTCACTTACTAAACGAATAATTACTTACATCTTACAAGTTTAATTAGTTGCAGTTTACTATTTTATGTTCCAAACTATCAAATTCAATTTAGGGATTTGCGTAAATTCCAACCTTATCTTCTTTGAACTCCACAAACTCCAACTCTTCTTCGCTTTTCTTAAAAAGAAGTATTTCGGATAATGTAAATTCAGCCTCAATTATATTACATAAAAAAGGGTTTATGAAGTATGCAAACGTACATTTAAATAATTTCAAATCGGCAAATATTTTTTCAAAATCTGCTTTTAAATTATTCGCAATATTTTTTTCTAGCCATGGAAAATGATGAAATATTCTTTTTTTGAGATCATGAATAAAAATGCGTAGTTTACTTTCAAAACTTAAAATAATTTGCGTCAAATCAAAAACATTTTTATTATCTCCTTGTAGAGACAAATTCAAGTTTTGCAAATGTTCCATCATATCGGTAAAGAACATTAAGTCAGAAAGCCAATTTTCATTCTCAAATTGCGGGTAATGNGGGTTTATGAAGTATGCAAACGTACATTTAAATAATTTCAAATCGGCAAATATTTTTTCAAAATCTGCTTTTAAATTATTCGCAATATTTTTTTCTAGCCATGGAAAATGATGAAATATTCTTTTTTTGAGATCATGAATAAAAATGCGTAGTTTACTTTCAAAACTTAAAATAATTTGCGTCAAATCAAAAACATTTTTATTATCTCCTTGTAGAGACAAATTCAAGTTTTGCAAATGTTCCATCATATCGGTAAAGAACATTAAGTCAGAAAGCCAATTTTCATTCTCAAATTGCGGGTAATGTTCCGATCTTAATTTGCGTATGTGTATATAACACGAATAAAAAAAAAAACAAAGAGCCACGTTTGCCCACCGTTGGAATATAGCATGGCACAGCCGGTAAAACTAATTAATGGTTGGTGCAAGAAGTGGATTGCAGAAAAGTGAAGAAAGCAGCGAAAGTGAGGAATACCTAATGGCGATTAACGTGACTAGCAGCATTGATGTATGGCGGCCAGATCCTTTGAAGTTGGACGGTAATCTTTCAGAAAACTGGCGAACTTTTAAGCAAAGCTTCGATATATACGCGATTGCTATTGAATTAAGTTCAAGAAGGTAATCGCAAAAAATTTGAATTTTTTTAAACGCGTGCGGTGCGGAAACTATTGAAATCTACAATACTTTGGGGCTCTTCAGTACACAAAGTAACCAATATGACGTAAGTGCCATCGAGGCATACTGCACCCAAAAAAAAACTCAGAGCGTGTAGTCCCTACGGGAGGAAGAAGTGAAACTTGATATAGGAAATGCCAGAAAGAAAGAAATGTGCGATATACATACACATGTACATATTTTCTAATATACAAAACCATATTTATTTAAAATTTTTTTAACGACCTTAAACTTTTTATTTTTTTTATATATCCAACTGAAAAGTTTAATTATTATTTGTGGCTGTAAAAAAATACATATCTACAATGTTAACTAGTAGATTGTGGTAACGAAAGTAAAATATGAAATTTTTTATTTCAATATTATTAATATTTCTGGAAAAAACCGCATCATTGGTAGCCGCTCCTTTGTTGTTGGATCATTTCCCCCATTAACCATTGCCAGTGAAAATTTGTTTAAAAAATTTTGTCTGTTCATCAGATTCGGCCAGCAAAAAGTTGACGTTGAAATCTCCTGCGAGAATTACAGGTTGATCATAACAGTCTACTTATCTTTATCTTTATCTTTATCTTTATCTTTA